ATCATTATTATCCGTCACTGGTAAACTCATTCGACCAGGTGATGTCATGTATTTATTATTACTGATTATGTTCATATTTGGCAAGACATATTTTTGTCTTTTAGATGACTGCTTTGGTTTAAAACCAGCTTTACGTGCGGTTTTCAAAAGTGTTTTCTTAGCAAACCCTCTACAAGAATTATTTTATTGTAATATATGACAAATAAGAAGGTTTTAAATTTAAAAATTACATACTTAAGAGTAGCATTTTTTTCCTTTCCTTTATGATGTGCAGTCTGAGTGACTAATATTTGTCCATTGAAAGCAAAATGATGAAAAATATGCGGTGGATACCGAGCTTTATGGACTAATTTTCGTAAAGTTTCAATGTTCTCAGGTGTAACTTCTTCATCAAAAGCTAATTTTATCAATTGAAAAGTACATGATCGTAATTGAAGACCTTCTTGCAAACATTGATCTAGATGTGCTAAATGCTGCACAGCAACCCTCTTTTCTTTAGTTAAAGATGTTACAGGAAAAGCACGCACTACTAATTGTTCACAAGCAAATGGATCACAAGGTATTCCTTTAAATACAATTCTATAATTAGTAAGAAAAATTGCTCCTTCTGCTGGCAAAAGTGGTGGTATCTTTGGTAATCCTGCTGAACTTTCTTCTCTACCATCTGGTAAAAGATAAACACGCAAACCATCCATAATAACTTCTTCACCAGGTAACATATTAGGTGTCAAAATTTTAGGTTTTTGTATTGGAGGTAATCTTTTGCTTTCTCTATGTATTGCTTCAAGAGTTTCAATATGCATATGAACAACGCCAGGAACCATTTGATGTAGACATCTAACATGTTCAGCACTTACACCTCCTTCAGTGCAAACACGATCTACAAATCGTGAAACCATCCGAATAACGGCACTACCAGTTTCCCCAGGATCAGTTTCTTCAAAACCAGATTCTGCATCACCACTATCGCTTGCTACGCTATTTGTAATACTATTACTTGCTCTTTCATCATCATAAATATTATCTTGACGATGTGTTTTTGCCCCTATATCTAATGGAACCAATAAATAAACCATCCTATTTGCATAATGAATTGCTTGACTATACATAGTACTTTCTTCACTTGCAATAAGTTCCTTTTGTTTTTCTGGATCGATTGTTGGCCAAATCCTCATTTGTTCAGCAGCTATTTCAAGAGCTGATGGTTCTTGAATTTGATAAATTGAATATCGATCACGAAATGGAAATTCTTTGCCATCGCGTGGACTAATGGGACTTAATATGCCATCATTTATAAGCCGTGGTGGAGAATTTTCACCAGGAAGATATAAACGCTTGATATCTTTCTGAACGTCCAAATAAAAAGCATCTTCCCAAAATTGTTGATTTTGCCATACAGGATGTTCTTGAATACAAGTGTAAGCAAATTGAATTACTCCTGTACAAAGCTTTCTGCAAAATGCTGTAGCAAGGGGAAGAAGTGCAGCAGCAACTCCATGCTCATCCATGGATGAATCATCTTGTAATGCACAATTCATTAGCCGAACTACAAGATCAAATTGTTGATGTTCTAACATAGCTTTGTTTCCAACAACATGCTGTGATAATTCCATGCAAAGTGCTAAACGAGCAGCTTTGCTTTTCAAGGCTCTTAAAACAGCTGGAAATGTTTTACGGGCATCAGATATTTTATTCTCAAATATACAGTTTATACAGTTACGCAGAACTTCCAGTCTACGTGCAGAATTGCTAACCAAATGTCTAGTGTCATGAACAAATGAAATATGTGGACCCATAGGTACAATACGAGGCTGTGACGGTCTTAACGATGATAATCTATACAAAAAATGTTGAGTGTAAGTATAAAATATTATAGTTAAGATAACTATATAAAATATAATATATAAAAATATAATTTTAATACAAACCTAACTTTAAGATTATTTTTGGCAAGACCTTCATCTATAATTGCTTGAACTTGTTCTGGATTAATGCGCGGTAAAAGTGGTTGATGTATTCTAGCAAATGCCCCTTCAGGTGGTTTTAAAATTTTTTGTACATATGGTTGTGGATTTGGATTTTCATTTGTGTACAATTGTTGTGCTAATTCTTGAATATGTGTTAAAATAAGTCCTAATATCGAAATAATATTTATTTTATGTTTTGTTATTATTAATTGTAATCTCATTAGTACTACTTACTATGATCTTGTGCTTCTTGTTTTAACTGATCACTTAAATTATTATATAACTCATCCCATACATCACAAGGCCTCCATGGTGGTCCCCTTTCTGCAATAAAGGAAGTAAAAAACATACAATCCAGAACTCTAGTTGTAAAATCACAATCCGTTAAGCCACGTTCTCCTAAGAAAGCTGCCTAGAAATAAAAAGTATAATTTACATGTTTTTCTTTTATCTATATACGCTGTAAAGTGGATAAAACGAATAATAATTAAAAACCTTATGAAATGTTATGACAGGTTTAGGGTGAATCCTTATTAATGTTAGGCAGCTCCTATATCCTTGCAATAGTTGAGCAAAAGTTCTCATAAAAACTGCTCGTAATTCTTTATCTAACATAGGAGAGTGAGGAGCTCTTGTTGCAAGTGGTGGAAAAGCATAATCTGCACAGGCCAATTCTGGTTGTAATACTAAAGATAACGCATCTTGTGTTTGTGAAAGAAGTGGTTCTGGAAGTAATGGAAGTGCAACCCCGTCTGGGACCATAATAGAACCTCCATCCAAATCAGCAACTATTACATCCATCTATAAAAGGATATAACATTTAATAAAAAATCATTACAATAGAATTAAAGATAATATCATATAATTCTATTGAATATCTTACAAGTTCTGCAACTTCATGTTTCAGTGAACTATGTACACCCATTATAAACGGAGTAGGTGTACTGAGTACCTCAACTAAAGCTGCTGGTAAAAGAGGAATGTAAACATGCGTATATCTAAATGGATACATTAGTGCAGTAAGAGCACGACATCCTTCAGTTAATCGTGAATAACTTGCAGAATGAAAAAGTATTTTATGTTCTGTCATAACAGCACAGAATAATACTAGTACATTACGGATTCCTATAAAATATAAATATACTTTAACGAAAAATATGTACAAAATTATTTATAATAATAACTGTTTTACTCTTACCTAGTTGTTGAAATAAAAGATTTACACTACTGTGTGTTATTGGAAGGGAAGGACTAATTGGAGGTTGAAGTGCTTGACGATCACCTGCACCAATGCTAAATCTTACTTGAGGCCCACCAGCGGGTGGTACTTGTATACAACCTAGTATGTTTCCTACCAGAGTTTCTAATGGTATTCCAAGATTTTCTACATACACTGTATATATAATACCAAGGCAATTCTGAATCAACAATAATATAAAAATATTGTTACATATGAAAATGTAATCATGTTCTTAAAATACATAAAATGTTACATACTCTGAAAGTTTCAATGTAATCAAGTCTGGAAACCAGCACCAGACATTTAGGTGCATACATAATGCTGTGATGTGCAATTGCGGGTATTGTTCTAACCAAGGAACGACTATCACCATCTACAGGATCTTCCTCTTCATCTACAGGCTTACTTGGCAAAATAGATACTGTTTCATTGAAACACATGCAAGCACAATAATGACGATTTGCATCAATATCAGTTAAAATAGATACAAAAAATCGTGGTTCTTGTCTTTCTGTAGATAAGGCCCATCCTTGTGGTTGACAAAACTACAAAGAAAAAAAAAATAGTTTAAGAAAAGTTATATAAGACATAAAAATATAATAAAGAAAAATCTTACCCATTCTATGCCTTCTATAAATGGTGTATCTGACCAATCTTTTTCTGGAAATCTTTGTAAAATGATTCCATTACTTATACCCCCTCCTATAAACATAAATAATATTATACATTATATTATTTGCTTTTATACTTTAATAAACGATATTAATTTCGTAAACATACATAATTTGGTAACATACAAAAAAAATTTTTGCCAAAAATATTTTTGAATATTTATGCTATTGAACATATATAAAATATTTATTATAAAATGATTACTTATTATTATACATATTAAATTTATATCAATAATATAGATATATTTTTTAAATATAACTTCTATTAAAAATAATAACTTACTCTCTTTTTCGTGGTCGTAGCCGACCACAACAAAGTAGTCGGCTAACCGAGACATTTCGGTATACTCGTGGGGGTTCGTGGGGGTGATAGCGCCCAACATCCCACGTAGATTTTAATACACGTGATTTCATGGACCGTATCCTACCAAGTAACAATCAACTACCTTGTGTCAACGTTACACATAAATACGCATCAATATATAAATTAATTGAAAAATATTAAAAACATTCTTGAATTTTATATTTTTTCATTCAAACAACAAGATTTCATATTAAAGCACCAAACACATGATATCGTCATAAGTATATTTAAAAAATTTTATTCCATTTTAAAAGCAAATTTCAAACGGTGGTTGAAATTTTATAAGCATTACCACGCACCGTTGAAAGGAGATACTTCACATTCGTTATGTTTAGAAAATGAATTCATCCGTCATCGTAAGAGCAGGCAATATTTCATTTATTTTATAAAACACAATATGATGCCACACCCCGAAGCTTTAATCCATAACCTTCCAAACTCAAGCGCCACATTGGGTGTTTGTTGAACCGCGTATGAACCAAAACGCGCCACAGATATACAAACGAAGAAACGAATGCGCCGTAATTCGCATTTAATTTTACTTTTTTTTTTGTCTTCTGCTTGGGTCACTGAGAATACTTTAAATCTGAAAACATTCACATTATTAGAGGCGCACTTCGCTGTAACTTTGTAGCGCGTTCATAGTGAAATTATTGCACAACAGATGTATGTGTAATAATCTATACAAACATATAGAATATTTTCTTTTTAAATTTATCAAACAGTTTTATATTTTATATAAAAATATATAATACCTAGAACATGAAATATTTTTTAAATCAATTGAAAATACATGTATTTCTGTGTGCATGTATATGTTATATATCACTTTCTTATTAAATTTATTGTAAATGTTTAAAATGTTTAAAAATTATTTTATATATTTTTAAAAATAAATTAAAATTTAATTCAATGCAATACTTCAATACTCCATTTACAATTGTTATACTATGTACATTGTGTACTATATGATACACTATGTATGTATATATTGTATATGTTCAAAAATGATACTTAACCTTTTAGAAGCTGTTACATGAAACAACAACCTCAGTTTCGTTGATATCAAAATAAAAAATTAATATAAAAAAATATACATTTTATGAAACTTTTTTCATGTAAGTAACTTTTTATATTTAATGCACTTTTAGAAATGATAATGTGAAATCTTACAGAATTTCAATAAGCTTGTGCAAGATGAATGTTATTGAAATAATTTTTAAAGTCACTGATGCAAAGATAGGGTTCAGTATTGCAGCAATAATAGGTTACTGTTTATATAAAATAATAGCAGAAAGAAGTAGAAAAAAATTGCAATCTTTTAATATTGATTGTAATGTCAATAATATAGTAAGTAAAATTAAAATTCATTTATACTTCTGTATAATTAATATAGTAAATTCACAAAATAGAGATAATAGCTTTTATTTTCAGCAGATGGATTCGGATAATTACAAACTTATCTTAGTTATCAGAACTGACTTAAAAATGGGAAAGGGAAAAATTGCAGCACAATGTGCTCATGCTGCTGTTGAAGCTTATAAAGCAGCTGAAAACTATCCTGAGATTTTACGTGCTTGGGAAAAATGTGGACAAGCCAAAATTACTGTTAAGGTATTATGTTTAATGTTATTTTTTTAAATTAAAGCTCAAGTTGAAATTTTTACTAAATTAACAAAATGCTTAGGTGGATAGTGAAAGTGCATTGAAAGAAATAGTAAAACAAGCTAGAGCTGTAGGACTTTTGGCAAATATAATAAAAGATGCTGGACATACACAAGTAAAACCAGGAAGCAGAACAGTATGTGCTATTGGTCCAGGTCCAGCTGAATTGATAAATCAAATAACAGGTCATTTAAAATTGTTTTAATAATTCACAAAATAAAGGTATTTTAATTTTTTAACTAACTTTTAAGTGTATTTTTTTAAATTTAATTCATCATGCTTTACTGATTATTAAATTTTTATTCATATGCTAAAAGATAATTAAGTACAATAATTTTATATTTTGTCGATGATGTAAGTATAAATATATACAAGTAATTTTTAGAAAAAAATGAAAAAGTATAATCTTTTAGTTTAATAGTTTATACAAATTTCAATATTAATTTGAAATATTACTTCAGTCACTGATCGTACTTTATATAAAATAATAAATTTCATTTAATCAATTTAAATATAACATACAAGAACAATCTCCATTTTAATGGTAATATAATACATTCTTGTATTAAGAAACACGGGTATAGCATTAGGTGCCATTATATGTAGTTTGTTAATATTAAATTTTATTATCAGTGTAAGTAAATGGCATTTATTGATATGTATATTGGGAAATATATTATGCAAAAAGTGCACAATTAGAGTCATATTGCAATAAGATAAGCAATTGTAAATTATTCCCAGCTCGAATCGCAAAAAATTAAAAATTTGTTTCCAATAAAATATCTTCCATTCTTTGGTACCTCGTGCTATTACTTTCATTTAAGATTATTTTCATTTAATGCTTATAAATAGTATATAAATAATCTACACTGGAGGAGGAGGTGCTTTCCGATGTATTTTGTTAGAGCTGGTAGCACTACATTGTGATTCAGCAATAGATCTACCATCAGCTTCATCTCTTCGACATAATTCTTCGTTTGGCATCCAATTTTGAGTTTGATTATGATTTGTTCGCGTTGATTGATTTTCTTCATTTCCGGTCACAGAACCTACTTCTTCCAATAATTTTGACAAAGATGGTGCTAATCCTAATCCTAAATTTCGCTCATGGTATACATCTGAAATTGTAGGCGTTAATTCACGTGTTAAACTAGTGAGTGATGTGGCTACGTTTCTTAAATTTTGATTATGTGTTTCTGCAGGTTGTGTAGAATCAGCCTGAGAACAAATATCATCAGTTGTTGTAGGATGACGAGGTTTTCTTGGAGAATTGGATCCAATTTCTGTTCGTACGCTTAATCTTTCTAGTACTGTTGCTGGCAAAGGTGGTAATGGTTGTCGCCTTAAAACTGTTGCATGACCGTTATCCCAATCTGTTACTGAACTACTTGAACTAGATCCTGGTCTTATACTTTGATCTGGGTAAAGATTTCTGATACGTGTTTGATGATTCAAATTGAGTGCTACAGGAGGACTAGGAGTGAAAGCAACATCTGATTCACCTATAAAACATATATGCATATCATTATAACACTTACTTAAATTTTAGTTTGAATTATATATACCTCCACTATTTTGACATGGTTGTCGTGATGTAGGAATTGGAACATTTGGTGGTTCCATAGTTTTCCCATCAGGTTCACCTCGATGTCGAACATAATTTGCAAATGCACCTCCTAATCTAGGCCGTTCTATGACATTTTTTTCAATATGAGTAACAGAAGCTAAACTTTCCATTGAACTACTAGAATCTAACGTCAAACTTTTAGGTGCTTCTTGGGTATCTAATGACATGAAATAAGATTTAGATATGATATATTTATATTTTTATTTATGTGATCAGACTTACCAAATAAAGCTAAAAGAGCTTGAAGAGCAAATTGGACAGCTCTTCGTGATGCTTGTTTTCCTGTTCTTAATGTGACTTCTGATTGACCAACTTCCATGAGATCAAAACCCAAACTTGCAAATAATTCGTGAGATCCTGATGCTCTCCATACTTGTACTGGTAATGTAACTTCTTGACCTTCTGTTGCACATGTAGCTCTTCTCATCGCAGCAATGACATCTTCTGCTGCTTCTGGCACCTATAATAAAAAGTGCTCTTTAATGTGTATAATCAATTATTAATTATAAATATGTATAATCAATTATTAATTCTTAACAATATCAGAATAAATTCATTACTTGCAACAATCTAGCAAGTGCATGCAATGATGACGGTCCCAATCCCAATAATGCTTGCAAACTTGCACTACATCTTGTTAATCTTTCTTCTGGATCACTTTGTGGAAAAAATACAGAAGATGGTATTCCGTTTCCAGCAGGTTCAAATCTAAAACCTACTGACATTAAAAGTTCTCGCCAACCAGTGGCTGCTCCCACTTTATTTTCTATACTACGCTGAGTTGTGTACATAGCATTTTTTTGTCCACGGTGTATTCGCTGTAATGATTTTTCTACTAAATGAAGCGTTACACGTAATGCATCACGACTTTGTTCAGGACCACCACGTAGTAATTCAGCCAATGCTTGTCCCATTAAAGCAACCTAAATATAAATTTGAACAATTATGTACATATGAATTCTTAAATTTATAAATTAATATAAATTTAATAAATTTTTTAAGATTCATACCTTGTTTGACAATCTTGCATCTCCTCCAATAAGTAACCAACCAGCCCAATTTGCAGGATGCGCGAAATGTCTTGTATGTTGAACTGTTTGCATAGCTTCTGCCAATGCTCTTGATGCTCTAGCACCTTGTAACATAGCACTATAAAATGCTCGTAATAATATGCTACCAGCTGTAGGTGGAACTGCCCACATTCCTATTAGTACACATTGTGCTCCTGCATTTAACAAAGCTTTAGCTAAATTTTGTACGCCGTCTGACGTAGCAGTCGTATTTTCTGTACTATTCCATCCGTGGCCACTAGATATTACAACTAAACGAGCAGCTATTCTTAGTTTTGTAATATCTGAGTAGCTTAGCAAATATTCTGGTCTTACAGAAGGATCTTCACAAGGATCTGCAGTTAATGCTAAACTTGCAGAATTCCAAAAAACTGGTACTGTTAAATGTACACATTCTGCATCAGGTAAAGACCTTAAAACAGTTGATCTCGTTGCTTCTGTCCCTATCAATAAAAATAGTGAAAATTATTTATTTAATTATTTACTTAATCTAATTAAATTTGTGACGATACTTACCAGTTAAAGCACGGGCTTCTAATAATTCAGCAACAATTTCAGATTCTGTTTCAGTAGAAGCAACACTTTCAGACCATCTATATTCTTCCCTAATTTCTTCAGGAAGAACAGGATTTCCAGCAACTAGCGCAGCTACTGTTGCACCTCCTTCTGGTATAGGAGTCTTTGATCGCTTTTTTAAAGCTGCAAGAGACGGTACTACTAATAAAGAAAATCTTTCACATAAATAATCTTCTCCAGGGTTTGATTGTAAAGCTGGAAGTGGTGCCAAATATAATGATTTCTCCACTACCATAATTAATTCCTTTCTTGCTGGTGGCAAAAGATCTTCAAAAGGCGCTAAAAGTAAATCGTAAAGTACTTGAATTGGCAATGGTGATTGCCATGTGGGTCCTTTGGTTCCTCGCCCCCATCGAGCACTTCCTGCTCGTGAACTAACTGAACCCACACTAAACAGACTGCTCAGACTGTATGAACTAGCATTAAGATGTCCTCTTGATGGTATTTTCGTTTCTTCAACAAGTTCATTTGTTTCATCTAAAAGAGCTTCTCGTGCTTGCAAAACTCGTTTCTCTAATCCTATACCATCATCCAAACTAGTAGAATGAAATCGTAATAATCCTCGGCCAGGAGCTAAGCACCAAGAATGTAATTCACATCCTACTTCACTGAAATGTTATTTAATATTTATTACCTGTTTCATGGAATTACAATTTTTTATTTTTTCGTTATTGGTAATTACCTATAATATAAAATAACTCCACGTTGTCTATCAATAATTTCGGAATAATGCGCAGCATCATCCAAACAATTACTTTTGGTTCGTCTCGATCTTTCTGCCCAATTTAGAGCTTCTTCAGCTCTATTTAAACTGATTAGTACTTTTTGTAACATTCTATATGTTTCTGATAATAATTCAAATTTGTTTGGCTGTCCACAAATAAGAGTTGAAGAAATACCATCTAATGATTCTAATAAATTTGCCGCCTTCTCTAAATGCTCAACAGCAATAACTGCTTCTCCTGCTTCCCAATGAACAAGACCAAGTCTGTGTCTTAATCTAGCTGCTTCTTCTCTTCTTCCTAATCCTTCAGATAACGATAATCCAGATTGTAAGTAACTCAAAGCTCGTGATAAGTCACCACATAAGTGATGAAGTCGACCTAAACTGGAAAATGCAGCTGCTCTTGCAGGTTGATCTCCAGCTGCTGCTGCAAGACTCAATGATTGTTCTTGTAATCTTATTGCTTCTTCAAATTGTCCCAAAGCTTCTTGAGTCACACCTAAATTTGCACAAGCTCTAGCTTGTAATCCAGCTGCATCTAAAGCTTCGGCAATTGAAAGTTCCAATTGATGATGTCGTAATGCAGAATTTGGATCGTCCATTAATAAATGAACAGCCCCTAATCCACTAGCAGCTTCTGCTTCAGCAGCTTTATCTCCAAGTCCTCTAGCAAGAGCTAATTGATGTGATAAACAACTAACAGCTTGTTCGTGGTTACCTAATGCAGCATGTACTCGACCTGTAAAATTGATATTAATAATTTATAATACACACTAAGAAAAATTAAAAAGAAGTTTTAAAAATATAATTTTTTACATATTAATTACCTAAATCTCCATAAGCTGCGCCTCTCGATTCTGGACTATCAACTTCATGTGCAGCCACTAATCTTTTTTCAAAACAAACCAGAGCGTCTTGTAAATTTCCAGTTGCTTCCCGAGCTCGACCTAAACCTCGATATGCTCGTTCTTGTTCTCTAATACTTTTTAATTTTGTAGCAGCTGCTAATTGTTGCTCATGACATTTGATAGCTTCTTCTGGATCTCCTAAAGCTTCATAACAATCACCTAAATTACCAAGTGCCCTAGCTTTATTCAGTAGAGCTGTGCCTGTGGTTAATGGTTCCAAAGTTGCTAACTGCTGTTCAAAGTATCCAATTGCGTCTTCATAATGTGCCATGTTAAGTCTAGCTATTCCTAAATTTCCTATTTAAAGAAAAGGTAATAAGTATTATTATTGTAAATTCAAGTTTAGATATAAATATAATTCACCTAAAGCTTGCGCTTCAACCCCTGAGTCTGCTAATTCTTTTGCTCTTTCAAGTTGTTCCTGATAACATTTTACTGCGTGAGTGTATTGACCTAGTGCCATATGGACTGCTCCTAAATTCCCATGAGCTCTACATTCGCCACGTAAATCACTAGCTTCTTGTCTTAAAGTTAGTTCTTGAGTATGAAATCCTAATGCTTTATCAAGATTTTTTATTGTCCGATGTGCAATACCTAAAGCTCCATAAGCAGCAGCTTCTAAACTGCGATCACCTGCTTGTCGTGCTAAATTTAATTGTCGTTGATGCATTTTTATCGCTTCTTCAGCTTCACCAAGACGTAAAAGACAATCACCAATATTTCCCAAAGCACGAAATTTTCCAGCTAAATGTTTAGTCATATGCGCAATAGCTACATAAAAAAATAATTGATTAATATTAAATATATTGACATTTCTTAAATATAAATATGTAAATGAAAGACACTCTTACCCAAATAATATTTTTGACATTCTAGTGCAGTATCTAAATTTTCAAGAGCTAAATGTGCTAATCCCAAATTACAATAAGCTCTACCCATCCCAGATTTATCTTGTAAATCTTTAGCTAACGCTAAATCTTGGTCATAATATCTAACAGCTTCACGATGATTGCCTAAACAATAATGAGCATAACCTAAGAAATGGCATGCTTTAGCTTCTCCTTCAACATCATGTAACTCCTGAGATAACATAAGATAATTTTCATAATATGGAACGGCCTCTTCAAATCTGCCACGGGATGATAAGCAATTGGCAAGATTGAGTAATGCACATGCTTCACCAGCTGTATCTTTTAATTCGCGTGCTATAGCTAAATGAGCTCTATAATGTCTTAATGCTGCTTCATGACCCTGTACAGCTTGATATGCTACTGCTAAATTCCCATGTGTACTAGCTTCTGAACTACGATCATTGACCTATATTATATAGTAACTTTTATAATGTTTTATAATATAAATTTATTCCTGAATTTATTTTTTATTACATATCTTAAATAATTTACCTCTTTACTTATTGTTAATTCTTGTTTATGATATTTAATAGCTTGTTCATAATATCCTAATGCATTATAAGCATTTCCAATATTTCCATATGCTCTACCCATACCAGCTTTATCTCCTAATGATCTAGCAATTCCTAAATGAGCTTGATGTAATTTAAGTGCTGCTTCGTGTTCACCAAGTAATTGATAAACTATACCTAAATTACTACATGCTCGTCCTTCAGCAACTTTATCCTTTGTAGCTAAAGCAACATCAAGTTGCCTTTGGTGCCACAGTTTCGCTTGTGCAAGATCGCCTAAACATGAATATTTTAATTTGAAGAAAGTTTATTACAATACTGTTGATTAGTAGTTAGTTTATTGAGTTTCTTATTACTTATTGTTATAAAAAGTTCACCTGCACATCTTGCAGCATGACCCAATCCAGCATAAGCTCTCATTTCTATTGCTCTGTCACCGAGTTCTTGAGCTATTCTTAAAACATTTTCATGATAAGCCATTGCTTGACCGAAGTTTCTACGATAATGATGAGATGAACCTAAATTACTGAAAGCTCTTGCTTCTTCTACACGATCTCCCAAGCGTCTTGCTATTCTCAAATGCTGTGTATGACAATCAACAGCACTTTCAAATTCTCCCATTGCTAAATAAACTGCTCCTACATTTCCTATTTCTCGAGCTTCTTGAAGTCGATCTCCCATTTGTTTTACTAATTGTACACATTGTTTATGAGATGCAAGTGCATTTGGTAAATCACCAATAGCTGTATAAACGTGACCCAGGCTAGTTAAAGCAGACGCTGCAGCCTGAGTATCTTTGCACTTCATAGCTAAAACCAATTGATACCTGTGTGCTGTTAAAGCTTCTTTAAAACTGCCCTTACTAAAATATGCCGAGCCCAAATTTCCATGAGCTCGACATTCACCCTGTGTATCTCCTAAAGATCGTGCGACACCTATAAATATTTTTATTTAAAATACTCTATTGATACATATTTATTATTTCATTTATTTTAAATATTTACCTAAATCTTGTTGCATATAATTGATAGCTTTGTCTAAAGAATTTAATGCCCAATATGCACTAGATAGAGCAGAAAATACAGAACCTCGTAATTTTAAACTACAAGAACCAATAGTTAGAGCAGCTTCTAATACACCAGCTGCTGCTTTATATTGTCCTGCTCCAAGAAGTTCTTGACCAACAACAGAGATGACAACAAAAGAAGATTCATCAAGTTTCATTGCACGTAGTTGTTGAAATGTTGGTTCTAATGTTGCTCGCAATGGTGATTTTAAAGATGCTTCCACAAGACCAGACAAAAGTTGACAATTAGAAGGATCATGTGCCAAACCTGTACTAAAGGCCACAAGAGCCTCTCCATGTCTTCCTAAACATTGTAAGGCTACTCCTTGACGGTAATATGCCTAATACATAGATTGATTTTGCTAATTATTTGATTAGTAACAAGAAAAAAAAAGAAGAAACCATTACCTTTGGCCATTGAGGGCTAAGTTCAGTAGCTCTAACTGCATCTTGAAGAGCAAGTGCAAATAAACCCATTTTGAGCCGGGCAGCTGACCTGTTTGAATATAGCACATGGCTGAGTGGATCCAAAGCAAGAGCTTCTGTATACAAGCTTGCAGCAAGAGCATAATCACCATTTTGACATGCTGCATTGCTACGACGTACAGTCTCTAAAAACAAAGATCTTGATCCAGCAGCCAAGGCCGACGTACCTTCGGGCTCCACCTTCAATATATATATATGATATACATACATAATTTACTATATGTATGATTTATTACATGTATGATTTACTATGTTTATTTTAAAATTATATTATATTACATCATTACTATATATATACATCATACTATAATATTACATCATACTATCATAATTAATTAAATATAATTTATAAAAATTTATTATATATTTAAATTTAATTTTCATTTATATTTTAGAGTTATTTTATTTTAACATTAATTATTAAAGTTAAAAAATATTTATAATAAATATACAAAAACATATTAGATCATAATTTCAAATCATATAACATAACAAAAACATAATATCAGATCATATTTTATAACAAATACAAAAACAAAAAACACAAGAATTTATAAAATTAAACGATTTTAATACTGAGGTATGATAGTAATATCATCATATGCTAAATTCCTGTTATTACCTCAGAGATATCCCTATGAGACATTGCTTAAGACGAGCAGGTAGCATCCTCCTGGATGAGCATTATCTGCAGCAAGAGAGCTTCATTAGATAAGACCACATATTTTAGAGTATAAGACCTTTCTAGGTTTTCTCACACCACCTTTCTTTTCCTTGTTCACATTTATTTTCTATAAAATACTACTTTCAAACGCAGGCAGCACTCACCGGATACACGTTGAAATTAACTACTTTGTCCTAGTATAATCAAAATATTCGCTAGGATAGATGAATTGATCCGATTAATAAAAAAGGAGGGAGGAAAGCGTCTTAGGAGGGCACCCACTGCATTCCTCAGGCACAGCCATCTTGGAATGTGACCCCAGGCTCCCCCTTGGGCCCAGAGTGGGGCCGGCACTGTCTGCTTCTGTACTTTGTATTATATTGAGTCTTACATGTATGCTCATAAATTTACGCTATTATGTACGTATATATACATAGAAATGATTCACTCAATGAAATAACATAAGTATATAGTTTTATATAAACTGTAGTTCTAAATTTTATATGCATAACAATATTATGTATACAATATTCTACATAAAGAATAACATTAAACAGTTAGCAATCATGCTAAATTAATTTCAAATTTATATCAATACATTGTTAGCATACAAATACTACATTGTTTTTAGTTGAAATTATTTATCACAATTATTTGTAAAACAATAATTATATATATATATTTATGTGTATATATGTAAAAGATTTTTAGGTACAAAAATATTTTGTATTTTTAAAGTCTTTTTATATTTATAATTTAAGTCTTTATATATATATATATATATATAGTAATAGGTTTTCATAAAAAATTTAAAAGCACTATTGTAAAGATATATATTTAAACGTATAAATAATACAAACTACCATGAACCATTATATTTTATTGTTAAAGTAATAAAATAGATTGTTTGTAATTATAAGATTACAAAGTCTCTATTTTAAAGGAACTACATGTTTATCTCCATCTGAATGTCACAGCCATTATAATTAAATTTTTATGTTTAATTAATGCTAAAATATATTACAATATTTGAGCGAAGATAATATATTCAATGAAATGTAATGAATGTGTATATACATAAAGATGTCTCTAATTAATAACTCTTTATATCTTTTACCTATCATAATTTTATTTTGATATTATATTGAAAAAAATTAATAAAAAAATCAATCTATTTCCCTTCGCTCATGTAATAAATATTTTTTATTGGTTTCGTCATTTAATTAACATTTCTTATATTTTTGTACCGAAACTGTACAATATTTCTTGGAATGAATGATATATATATGTACAACATACATATATACATACATACGTACATATATATATCTCTATATAACTTATGTATACCATGTACAAATCACTTTCATAATATAAACATTCAATTCATTCGATAATTTGAATCTATAGGAATGTTAAATATTTAACAGTATTTTAAATAAAATTTATAAATTATTGCATAATCAAAAAAAAATATTTTTAAAAAAATTTAAATAACTGTGAATTAAATTCACATCACCATTTTCCTTCTATGTTAAATAAAATATATATAAAAAAATATATGTAATGGAATTTGTATTCTATGCAATTGTAGCTTTCAAATTGATATAATTAATATAAAAACCAGAATTTTTCAATTTTCAGAATTGTCTATTCATTTCTATCTATCTATTCATTTTCATTAGTTCAAATGCCCACTACAATAGAATACTTTGGTATGCATCATGTATTATATAAAAAATGAAATTATGAAAGCTACATTTGCACTGATATCTTAAAATATATAATTGTAAAATTAATAACTTTCAAGGCCAAAGTCGATCAAAAATTTCCTTAAAGGAATCGTAAATCATAAATGTTATAGCAACATCTAAACATACTCTGCTCAATCTTGGAACAGTTCCTTTATAAAATGCCATTGGACCTTCATTAATCCATATTTGTTTCATACAATCTATACTATTCTTGTATTTTGAAGCTTCTAAGCCCTAAAAATATAGTCCATATTATATATGTGTTTTGTGTGTGTGTACACATAAAAAAGCATATGTAACTTAATGATTAAGTGACTAATAAAAATGAAATATTTACCTGCATTCTAGTTTTTACAACATCAATTGGAGTATTTCCAAAAACAGATAATGCCCCAGCACATGCACCAAAAAATCCAGTAACTACTTTTGGTATAACTACATCTTTGTTTCCATCTTTATACCAATCTTTTAATGTTTCCATAGTGCAAAATCTAATTGCTTGGTTTGATCCTTGTTTTAAAATTGTAGGTGTTACTCCTTGATATACACCTCTAAATCCTAATAAGTAAAAAATTATACTTTAAATTTCAAATTTAAATTATAATTTTTAATATAATAATCATAATTATATTTTATCTATTATTTAATATATAATATATATTTTATATAATATATAATTTTATATAATTTTAAAATTATAACTAATAGTGTAAACTGCATGTCACAAGAATGAGAAATTCATTTTACTGTAAACTGAGACTAATTAACTGACCTTGAATAAAGTTGGTTAGACTAGCTGCATATATGGTTCAAGGTAATTTTATTTGTTCTTGAACATTGAATAACCAAATATTTAGTTTTTTTTCAAGTTATACTTAGATTAAAAGTATTATGGATTAAAAAATGATTAAATATATATATTTATTAGCATAAACTATTATGTATACTAATTAGCATAAACTATTATATAAACTAATATAAACTAATATATATATTTATTAGCATAAATTATTTAAAACATATAGTATTCCATTTACCATATTCTTTAACAATCATTTGTACTCCATGAAAGAATCCTCTGTATCTTGGATTAGCAGATCGTTGATCATTTATGAACTTTACTTTAATAGTTTCCATAGGAGTAACTGCAAAAATAGCTTCAGATGCACCAGCACATAATCCTGCTATAAAACTTCTTTGTGTAGTAAGTTTTCCATTTGAATCTGCTAATATTTCTTTTACTTTTTCAAAGGAACCAAAACGTACACCTGATTTTGGTATTGAACCATAAAGTAATACTGAAAGACCCCTATATAGACCAAAGAATCCACGATTTTTTATAGTTTTTCTCACACAATCCCATATTCCTGAATATTCTTTACCAGATCCAGTTTTTCCATCAAGTTGTAACTGTGTTTTTACATATTCAGTTGGATAAGTAATACATATTTCTATACCGCCGGTAATGCCTCCTAAAATATATTCATAATTTCAATGATATCTTATTCTACCATTATTAAAAAAATTATTAAAAATCGTTAAAAAAGAATTTAATGAAAATCATTGATACGCGTTGAAAAGAAAAATATATAAACAATTTCGTTCATTAATCAGGAAAAATAATATAAAATAGAAAAGAATACTTTTAGCGCGTGTCCTCAAGGTTAAATGTTTCTTAATCTTTGAATCTATCATGTGTCGATTGCGCTGACTCAGTTTGTATCTTTTTCATTCCTCTATAGTTTTACTTACATTCCTTTTTTATATTAATGTATTTACATTCTATTGAACCATTTCAATAAGAGACAAAAATGACTAAGCATATATTAAATATGAAATCATTAATATAAAAAATGTTATAATATAAAAAAAATTTTACCAGCTACGATTCCTTTAATACCGCTATTACTGACAGCCGCTGCAGCTCCATGATCAGTAAGCCAAGGTCTGCGAGGAAAAGGATTACGGAATGTTGAAATTGTACTTGATTGTTGCGATGATTTATATATCAATGAACTGATATCCATTTTTCGAATTTCTTTTGGCTTGCCAGTAATCTTACTCCGTTAGACATCAATTCCGAACTGAGTCGATTAACATCTGTACGTTTAGATGCGTGTTCCCCTTCCTCAAACTTTTTTTACTCACACTTTATACGTTGACAGCCTAACACTCAATGCAATGTACATAATGATAATTGAATAGGCAATTGTGGATGGAATGACCAAAATTTCTTATATTAATAATACTTTAATTTAAATTCTGTTGTATTATTTTTTTCTACAAGTGTTACATTTTTATTTATATTGTGAATTGTGCGTAAATTATAAATATTATAGAATTTCAAATAACAATTTTTCAATAAATTAAAAATTTTATTTTTTCTATTATATCGTTATTAAAATAGAATTATAAAAACAATCAAAATCGAATAATTAAAATAAAATCAATAAACGAATAGTTATTTAATCATATACTTAGATATTTTATTTTAATATAAAATACTTTTAAAACATGAAAATCTGAATTAATTTACTTTAGCTAAAAGGAGAATATTTCAAACTTGTTATCAATATTATGAATGTTACATTATATGATCACATGATATATATTTCAAAATAATTGGGATTAAGTTGGTTATCAAGAACTTTTTTCTATTTCTTCTATTATATAACATCATATGTAAATAGGATTATGCAAAGAGGGAGTGATTACAAGAAGATAGGAATGCTTTTTGATTATAGATAAAGTTTTATATTAGCTGTACTGTAATTTAGTAAATGTATAAATTTTTATTAAAATGCACTTTATTCTCTATTTAAATTGTAACATAAAAGTTTATTATCATATTCAAAGTTTAAAAAACTCTAATGGATGTTTTCAGAGCAACTCTACAAATATGACGCCATGATTTCTTATCGTTGTCGATATAATTTATTCTCGTAATTTACATGCTTTACCATCCAGGTGTCGTATTTGCTAAACGTCTCATGCGTCTGAAAGCAAAAGCATTAAAATATTGTAATTATTTAAATTATGTAAATTATAATATGTTCTAGTGTATTATAATGTATGTAAATTATAATTATTAAATTATATAACGTAATAATTTTTACCGGGTATTTCGATCTTGATCACGTATTTTCTTTTCCATTTCTGCATCTGTTAATGTTTCTAAAAATGGGGCCCATTGATCAGCTTCTGAAGGTGGTCTGAAAGGTACTTCCACAGTGGGTAAAGGTGCTTCAGAAAATGCATAAGTTCTTTGGTGCCATGATAATTGTCCTCGTACACTAAAATAAATTTATTAAGATATATTAATAAATTATTTATAAATATGCAAATTATATATTTACCTATAAGCAATGGCAGTAACAAATTCTCCACCAAGTCCTAATTCAGCACATAATTTCATTGCAAACTTTTCAGGATTATTTTCTTTTTCAGACATATCCCATTCTACTTGATCTACTAAAGATGTATTGCCTACATGTATGTTTAATTTAATTATAACTCGTTGATCACATTGATCTTCTAAAATTGTTTCTTGTGGAAAAGCCTCTATTTGTTGTCTTATGGCTTGTGCAATAGCTGGTACAAAAGTTAATGGATTTAAATCTAAATCATCACATAATACCTCAGCAAATTGTTCTGGAGTTATAAGACTTTCTAAAACAAACAAATTGTTTTATTATGATAAATTATATTATATATAAATTACATTATACATTATACATAAATTACATTATATTATAATATATTATATTAAATTAATTATATTATATATTAAATTATATTATACATAATGTATACAAATAATCATACCATTTTTATTCCATGTGAAAGTATCCCTTAATTTTTGTCCTTCAATTTCCATATCTAAACGAATTGGGACTAACATTTCTTGTTGTGCTGCATTTTCTAAATTTGCTGATGGATCTGTGTCATCAAAACTAAAAGAATGTGTATAAATATAACTATTTAAATTTTTTTAGAAATTCAATAGAATTTTATCACTTATTAGAATTTATGGAAGTTTAACACTGTTGCTATTACATGTATTTATATGTATTTATTCCATGTATAAATCAACTTTTATAAAATTATCTGTTTTTATATAAATATAAAGAGGAAAACATATTTACCATAAAGGAAATGTTCTGACTTTTTTATTATGTACTCTATTACGATTAATTGGTGTAGCTTGAGGTACAGCATCCAAATGAGAACTATTTGGTAAACTAGGTACCCAAGGCATTGATTTTTTTGATTTTCCTTCTCTAGGAGCTGGAGGTTCTGTTGAATGTACTGATACAGCTTTATATTTATCATCATTACCTTCAATAATATCTTCTACTTCACTAGCTCTTAAAAGAGACACACTAGATGCAAGTACATGTTGGCTTAAACCAAGTTCTACTAATTTTTTACGCTCATCATTTGTAATAGATCTTCGGAACATTCCAGGATAACGTTTATACAATGATCCTCGGAATAGGCGTAGATAATTGCCCACTTCAGATCCAATACAATAATATTCTCCATTTTCCTCTACTTGGAAACTTATAGGTTTATCACCATATGTGCGTAGAGCCATGTTTATATTTTTCTATAAACATATAATATATCTTAACCTTAAAATAAACGGTAATATTAACATATAATAATAATCTTCAACAATTCTTTCAATATATTATATATAAATATCATTATAGACAGCGTAAAAATTGCCAGTAATTTAAACGAGATATAGATATGTTTATATAAAATATTAGTGTTCTTTAAAGCTAATTAATTCATAATTATAATTCATAATATAATAATTTGAATCATTTATGATATAATATTGTTTTATATTACAGTTTATTTTATTTATCTACCTGTTTGACCAGTTATTTGATACTTTTCATTTGTGACGGTTTTGTTAGCATTATCGTAAACTCACTATATTTTTTTCACGATGGCGATCTATAGTATACTAGCTTGTTTTCAATGAACGGTATTTGATTAAAAATTATATGTGCAAGACATATATACACAGAAAGTCTATCTTAAAAAGAAACAAAGCAATCCAACAAATGATTTAGCCAATTGTTGCGTATTTTGTGTTCATTAGGTATGGTAATAAAATCCTAAGGCTATGTTCTAAGAACATTCGGTACATTCACTGCTGCAAGAAATATTCATAAATGTGGAGGCATTGACACCAACATTTTTAATTCTCAACGCTGTGTTAACGTTGTCAATATCATTGTAAAATAACTTGTAACTAGTAATGAAAAATAGCAATTAAGCCTAAGTCTTTTGAATTATACATATTGTCATTTTATAAAAATTTAATACTGTTTATTCTTGCTTATGTAATATCCCTAGAAAGTCATGCTGTTCTTTCCCTAACAATTATTCCGGAATGTGGTAACAAGACAAGTTAGAGGGGGTGAGAATAATAAACGTTAGGCGTGTCGGCGTCTGTTTTTTTAATACTTTAACAGAAATCTCCATTAAATAAGTAACTTCAGTATAATAATTTTTGACGGTACTGATATTACATTTGAAAGAGATGTATACCTCGTTTTAAAGTATTGAAGCAGTAAATAATTTCAAGCTTGGAGAATGCTGTTGTTCATACAATGCTATTTTATAATTCAATAAGATTTCAATTTTACATTTGATATATTTGCGGAAGTACATGTGCTTGGTGCTCAGTTACGAGTGGAAGAGGGTATGTTCTTATGGGGTAACAGCAAGGCGGTAGCCTTTGCCGGGGAATGGAGACGGAGAGCGTAAAGTCGGGGGCTAGCGAGCATAGCCATAGCCATCATAGCAGAACTTCTCAAAAACATCATCGTACTCATAGTTCCAAATCTCACCATAGACAACATTCACACAGGAGTACTAGGTATTTTGATTAATTAAAAGAAAATAAAATTTAGTTTTTTTCTTTTTTTTGTTAAACAAAATAATATAAACATTTTTTTAAAGGACAAATCGTAGTCAAAAGAAAGAAAGACACAATTTAGATTCTACAGAAATGGCACCTTTTCAAACAACTGTTAATGTAAGAGGAGATAGTGTTGACAATCTGGGTCAAGAAGTTATAGAAGTACAAATTTTACCTCAAGATGAGAATTGGGGTGAAAATACTACAGCTGTCACTGGAAATACTTCTGATAGATCAGAATCAACTGAAGATGTGAGCCATTGGGCAAATGAGAATGATGGATCATTTAGTTCCTGTAATCGGTTCATGGGACCGGTTATAGCAATGATACTTGGATTAAGTGCTTTTCTTAGTCCTATAACAATGGTTATATTGCCTAAGCTAGGATTTTTTCCTGATTCTACAACTGTTCTAACTATGCAACAAAAGCTTCAATTATTATCTTGTAATGCTGAATGTAAAGGCCAATTACTAGGTTTAGCCTTTAAATTGGTGCTATTAGGTATTGGGAGTTGGGCTGTGTTTTTACGATCAAGAAATGCTACTATGCCACGTATATTTTTATTCAGAGCAGGAGTGTTACTTCTTACTACATTATGCATTTGTACTTATTGGTTATTTTATGTTGTTCAGGTATATGATTTTACCAGATTCTAAAATCTCTTTACTTATAGTATTTATATATCACCATAAATTCTAGGTTACTGAGAGTGCTAAGACTGCAGCTAATGGTGAAATAACAGAATATAAAAATCTAGTAAATTATGCAGGTACTCTTGCAGATACTCTATTATTCATACATTATATTGCCATATTGCTAATTGAAATTCGCCATCAACAGCCTATTTTTTATCTTAAAGTAAGTGCATTTAATTTTTTATACACCTTTATGTCCAATCTTGATACACAATACTTATAATAATGCATTGATATTTAAGGTTGTAAGATCACCAGATGGTGAATCGCGATCTTATGCAATAGGACAGTTGTCAATACAACGAGCAGCAGTATGGGTATTAGAAAGATATTATACAGAATTTCCTATTTACAATCCATACTTAGAAAGACTGCCAGTATCAAAATCTGGTAGAAAACAATCAAGCTTCAAGTTTTACGAAGTTGATGGTGGAGTATCTGGTAGTGTTCAGTCACGAGGAGGTAGTGGTGATAGAGCAGTCATAACCACTCAAACTCGTCGTAGAGATTCCAGTCACAATGAACGTTTTTATGAGGAACATGATTATGAGCGTAGAGTACGGAAACGTAGAGCGAGATTAATCACTGCCGCTGAAGAAGCATTTGCACATATAAAACGCTTGCATTCAGAAGTTGATTCAACTCCAAATCCTGGTCCTATGGATCCAATGGAAGCTGCGCAAGCAGTATTTCCATCTATGGCAAGAGCTTTACAGAAATATTTAAGAGTTACACGGCAACAACCACGTCATTCTGTTGAATCTATTTTAAATCGACTTGCACGATGTTTGGCTCAAGATGCAGCACCACGTGCATTTTTGGAACCTTTTTTTGTAACCAGTCCTGTTCTTTCAAATGAAAAAGAACGACAAAAAAGATCGCATCATTGGGCTTTAGTTTGCGAGGGAGAATTGCCATCACGACCTCTCGCGAATGGTTGCGAATTTCAATTGCGACAAGGTGAAGTAGCTCTGTTATGTACAGTATATCATTTACCTCATTTTCATCTTACAGAACAGCTCGCACATCCTAAATCTAATAAATTCTTATTAAGATTGAATTCCGAAACATCGGTTTAATAACAGTATAAAAATCAATAGCTTTTTTTTCATTTTAAGATAATTTAAAAATATCAATATTTTTAATTCAAACAAAAACTATTGATACTGCGAAATTTTCTGCTGTACATAAGTAAAAACAGATTATAGTAATGCATATTTAAGTATTGGGAATTAAAAACAACTATAGATATTGGAATTAAAAACTAGATATTGAAATTGATATAAAGCCTGGAAGAAAATAGTATACTTAAGAGTAATAGTTTTTTTAATATATATTTTTAAGGAATAGAAGTCTTGGAAATGATAAAATAGTTTTTTATGCAGAATCACAGGAAGTGTTCATCTCAGTAATGTTCACATATCTTTTTTAGTGCAAGTAGTAAAATAAAAGAACAATATAACTTTCTCATTTATAATTGTAGATAAGAGATATTCAAACTTTCATGATGTGAATGCATCTATATTTATTGATTTCATTATTTTACATATTATTACCTATATATTAATAAAATTAACTTACTATATTTCTGGATAGTTATATGTAAAAAATTAAAACTTTCAGTTATTCTGCAGTAAATATATAAATAAATAGAAAAGTCAATTTTAAGTATGAATTCTCCTGAGTAAATTTCCTTTTTAAAAGAATTTTGCAAAATTATTTTAACATAGTAATGTTATAAAATCATTACAATTCGTACAAATTATAAATTTTTATATAATAAAAATTTTTATTTATTGATATTTACTATAGCAACTTTTACAATAGATAAGAGAGATTGAAAATGAAATACTCTAAAAAGAGAGAAATACATTCCTACATACAATATGCTATTCAATTCATACATATACATTTATAATGTAAGATGATATGTGTATCTATTAATTTAAGGATATAATTTCTTCCATGACACAAAATTAATTAAATTTGATATGTTTTACGTATACATACTATATATATATTATATATATAATATATATACTATATATAATATACTATATATAATATATAATATATAATATATATATATATAATGTGTGTTTTCAATATAAGATATATTAAATTAAAATTTTTTTACATTTCAAAAATATGATCATTTTTAATTTATTTGTATTTATTGCTAGTAATTTAAAAAATTTAATAAATATTAAAAAGTTATTTTACTAAAATATAAAAAAAATTGCAGTTGTGATAATCAAATAAAATTTTAGAGCAAAACATATATAAAAATTTACAATTTTATATTTTGCAAAAAACATGCAACCAAATGAACTATTGTAAATCCTAAGATATCTAATTTTTCGTGTAATTTAAAATTCCATGTAATTTATTATATTAAATATTGAAAATATGTTTCAAAATGTCTACTTAACTTATTAGTACTTTAATATTTGATTGTTAAAATCAGATATTGACTTCTTCCTATAGCTATCATTGCATATTATATTCCTATATTATTTATGTCATTTATATATAATAAGATCTTTTTTGTATATCTTTTTATATAATTTTTGTATTAAATTGTTACTATTTTATGTTTTATTTTGGAAGGCTGATATTATATTGTGTTTACTATGCTTACTATTAGGATAGATGTACAATAAACAATATGTGTGTTATTTAACATTCATGTTAACATATGTATATACAGTATATACATCTCATGAATATATAATGAAGTGATCAGTATGATAACAAAACTTGTTAAAAAAGTTTATTATGATACTCAATTTCTTTCTATACATTCCTGTTTAATCTAATTTTAAATATTAAAAGATAAAATAATTTGATGAGTGTAAATTTATATATGCCTAAAAAAGTATTTAACATATCATCATTAAATAAAAAAAAGAAATATATGTCACTTGCTTCTGCTCATAAATTGTATTATTTAAGACTGTATAGTAAATTAAAAATATTTATGTCTAAGGACATAGAAATTTTTTTAATTTTACATTTCTACATACAATGTGTTGCGAGTAGCTTTATCCAAGATTTTTTATTTATGTGTAAGCTTGAATGTATTAACTGATAAACAAAATGAATGATCATTCAGTGTATAAATATTTGTTTTAGATATGATATATTACTTCTCTTTCATTCTGTATAGCATATATGTTGATTTACTTTTATAGGATTTCACTATATTTTGTAAAAGGAGAAAAGCAGTACGCACAAAATAAAATTCTGATTTCATAGAATGTATAAAAATCATAATAAAGAGATTTGATATATTATTATTTTAATTTTTATTTATAAATCTTAAGCCCAATTCGAATATAAAATAAATAAAATCTTTATTTTCTATATCTCATATCAAATAAAACATAATAAAAGTTAATATTTTTATTAAAATTTAATTTCTTTTATTACAACAAAATTGAACTTTAAATTATTTTTTTTTATTATTCTGTTGAAAATATCGAACGATATATTTACATATATATAAATCGATTTTAAGTACGAACGTAGAAACGTCACGCGCCAGAAGCATTGCCGAATCTCACGGATGAAAAAGTGATATAAAGCTCCTAATATGGCTAGTGATAAAAAATCAGGAAAATCTTCGAAAGGCACAAAATCTACTACAGAGATACTATCTGAATTTCAAATGCTTCGCAGTGAACAAAGAGCAATGGCCAATAAATTGTCTGAAATGGAGATGGAACTAAATGAACACAAGTATGTGCTTCCTAACCTATAATATTTATTTTTATTGCTTGCTACAAATATATTTTAAATATTAAATAAATACATAGCAAATAACTTGACATAAATTTATATATCATGAGATTTTAATGAAAAAAATTGAAAATTTATTTTGATAAATTAAATAGTTTTTCTTTCAGATAGCATAAATTATTATTCAGTTACTTAAATGATACATACTTTTAATTTTTTAGGATCGTAATTGATACATTAAAAAATATAGATCCAAAAAGAAAATGCTATAGAATGACTGGAGGTGTTTTATGTGAACGTACTGTAGAAGATGTGATGCCTGCATTAGTAACAAATAAAGAACAGGTTTGTTTTATTTTTGTAGTATATACCTTTTAATTTTTAAGGATATAATATAAATAAAATGTAGTTAAATATAATTAAATGTATTTATAGTTAATTAAAGTCATAGATGCTCTAAATGATCAATTGACAAAAAAAGGACTTGAAATAAATGAATTCAAAGAGAAGCACAATATTAGAATTAGAGGGCAACAGGATATGCAACAACGACAAGGTGAAGATAAAGATTCCAAAGAAGCTAAAAGAAGTGCTGTAGTTGTTAATTCATTATTAAGCAATTATGCATAAAATCAAAATTTCCTATTTACAATACATTTCATGCTTACATTCAAATCATATTTTGGCACTTGTTTATTAAATCTTCTAAGATTATATTTGAAATGTATAAATATCCAATTTTTGAATGATTATGTATTTTATATAAAAACATTTATTGATTTTTCTTTATGGATAAAAGGCATATAACTTAAAATAATTGCTTTGGTTTTCCATAGTTATCACTTTTTACTTATAATTTAATTATATTACTATAATATATTATTATTTTAGACAATTATTCCAGATTATTCTATATAATTTCATATATTTTTTAATAAATCATTGGATAAAATGTATTAATTGCTAAAAACAAAAAAATAGCAAATTATAGCAAAAGATTTATAGTAAGTAAATTTATATTATAAAATATAAGATTTCTATTTAGGAATATGTGAAATTGTTTAAAAATCCAGGAACTTGAGCTTTTAGACAGGTCGGAAAAATTTAGCCGATCTTGATATTCTTGTATCGATTGGTTTCGCGATCACTCACGTATGCTTATATCTAAAATTTAATCTTGAGAGTCCGAATAACACGAGGGACTTGAAATTCGATCCTTTGCTTCTATATTTCTAAACGAAATTATGAAAGTTATTTTTATTTCAAAAAAGAAATTTTTTAAATATTATATATTGTTATTTTTGCTATTAATCTATCAAACATTTTACTTATTTATAAAAAGTGCGTTAGTTTCTATCATAAACAAAATATCTTTAAAAAGTAAATATAGATTAATGCTCCATTATAAAATGGGAAATATTTTATTTTGTTAAATAATCATACTAATGCATAAAATATATATGAAGAATTAAAGCCTTGAATGCTTTTTAAAATTATTGAGTACAACATAATGTGATTTTTAAAATTTTTTTTGTTACAATTCCATGTATAAAAAACTAATTCCTCATTTTTAATGAAGAAGATATTATAATCAGTAATAAAATATATAAATATCTAATTTTAATTTTTTCATAAATTACTTATGGATAGAAATTATTACGATTATTTTATAAATACGCTGATATAAAATTATGATTTACTATCTAGTAATTATAAAGGCAGTAATAAGCATTTAATACAATATATTATGTAAATATAAAGGCACCATTTTATGAATTATTATGGAAACATTAGTGTTCACGATTCCATCTCCATACAGTAGCATCATCACAAACACATAATAAAACTGAACCATCTCTGCTTAAACTAGTTTGGCGTATAGGTGCAGTACATCTAGGATGTTGAAGTGAATAACAGCGTGCTTGGCCAGGTTCATCAACTTCTAAGTCCCACACGTATGTTCTACCAACTTGATTTCCTAAAGCTATCGTACGTTGCCAAAAATCCATTGAAAATCGTATAAACCATATATCACATTCCTTAAATTCAAATCTATGTAAAACTGTAGCGCTTGTTTCTCCGTTACGTAATTGAGAATCTTCGAGGCGTCCTGGTTTCCAACAAACAATACAATTTTCACAAGATTTACTTAAAATGAAGTCACCATACCATTTAACGCAATCAACATAATTACGATGAACATCGCGTGTAGTAAAATCTGGAAAATGTTGTAATATTGAATCGAAAGGTCTTCCATTACGACTGGGGTTGCAATAGTAGGATTGTTTTATTGCTTCTTGCATATCTGATTTATCCAAAGACCATAATTTCAAAGCGTGATCCATGCCACATGAAATAATACGTTCTCCTTTCAAATCAAAATCAGCACTTAAAACTTCATCTCTATGACCTTCAACACCACCAAATATTGCTATGCATACATCAGTTTTTATATTCCATAACCTAAGAGCATGATCTTTTGATGCTGACAGTAATATATTTGGATCTCTAGGATGAATTTTTAATTCATTTATTGCATGACCATGCCCAATATAATGTTTGATGCAAGTCATAGTTACAGGACTAATAACTCTTACAACACCACGTGATCCAGCAACTGCTAAAAGAGGTTTTCCAGAATCATCATAAGTCCAAGTACAAGTATAAAAATTTTCTTCTGGATCAGGGTCTGCATAGCATTGACGTAATCTAATATTTCCTCCTTCTGGACATTCATAAATGCTTACTCGATTGCTTCCCACTGAAGCAAATATTAATGGTTCACCTTCTTTCAAATGGTGATTAAACTGTACCCCAAATAATGGTTGTCCATGATCTTCTTTAACACTGCAGCAATATCTGTAAAGGGGTTTGTCTGTACATGGTTTATATTTTGTTGTTTTACTTCTACGTCGACCTTTTCTTCTATAACGAGCGCTACGAGTAGGTGTATCACTGCGATGAGTACCGGCCGTTGAATTACTGCCGATACTACATTCAGTTTCATCACTGTCATTTTCACTGTCTTCTTGGCTAGAAGCATAGGCTTGACTTTTGCTACCTGCCTTTTTCATTTTAACATTAAAATACAAGTTCAAGTTTTATAAAATTTTATATTATTTATATCCCAATAGTAGGAATTCCACTTGTTATGCCCAATATAGTTTCTACTAAATTCAATATTCTATTACCTAATTGTATACAAATGTGTGGTTTCTGGAAGAAATATAAAAATTAATATAATAAAATACTTATAAACTACAAAAGGAAAAGAGAATCTACATATATAACTTACAAAAACATTAGCTGATAAAAATCTAATGTTGTATTTCTCTCGTATTTTTGCTGATTTATGGAAAGTCAAGCCCATAATATTTGAAATTCCTCTGCAATTCACAAGGCATGCAGCTCCAGAAATTATGTAATGTTCATCTATGAGACTTATATTTGTTTCTACCTTAAATAATGATATTTTTTAACATTAATATTATTTTATAAATATACAATTTATAAATATATAATTGTTAAATATATTATGTATTTACTTCAGATAAAGATTGAGTAGTCCAATCAAAAACAAAAATAATGAAATCTACACCTAGTGTTAAATTCGATTGTATGATTTTATCAACAAGTTCACACTGATGTACAACAATATGCCATTTCCTTTCCTTTGCACTTTCATGTAATCCTTCAGAAACTTTGCAACATAATTCTGCTGGCCCTATAACCTACAATTATTTTTTATATTACAAATATTATTTAAATATTATTTAGTGTTCATACTATATCAACATTTTTTACAACTAAACATAACCTTATTAAATTTGATACTTATTATTTTTGAAAAAAATGACAGAAATGTTTGTAAACAGTGGTCAAAAACTACTATATTATGTAATATAAATACAAAGATATTATATTTGTCAATATATCTTATTAATAAAAATAAATATATCATAAATAATTACAGCAATATGAAATGTTTGTATATAAACTCTGACCAATTAAATTTCTTTCAGGTATTTTTTTCTATGTAAATTTGCAAATGTAAATCAAAGTTTTTTTTAATAAATAATGAATACATTTTAAAATAAAAAAAAGATTACAATAGAACATAATGTTTATATTTTAATTTTTCATCTATTAAAATAAATACATATTATTTGAAAGAATTCATTCTCAAAAAAATTTTATTAAGTAAAATAAACATGTGATAGTGATATTTAAAAATTACAAACTCACCAAAAGAGAAACCAAACAATCATTTCGGCACGGACCACAATTAGTAAGTAGTCCCGCCATGTTTCCATCTTTACCAATTGCATCTCTATAACATCAGTGTATAGTTTTAAAAAATTATAATCCGGAAGTACGTAATGATGGGCCAGTAAAATATAAAATAAATGGTCTTAAGAAATATAAAATTATTTCGATTTTTACATTTTGTTCAATGAGTCTAAAATTTGGTTTTGTAAAAATTTAGTTTTGTAAAAAAAATAGTTCTAAAAAAATAACTTCTTATATAATTAGATTATTTTATTTTATTTATCTTACGTTTAGTTAAGTTCATATAATTATATATTTGCTTGCAAATAAATATTTTATAGTAATAATATTTCATAGTAATTTTCATAAATATTCTCACTGTTCAAATTATTATAATTTGAAAATTTTTACTTATAAAATATTGTAACTATTTTTTTTTTTGTAATATAATTTAAATTCATTATATCTATATCGTTTAATATCTGAGACATTTTTTTATGGAAATGAATGATATGTAACTACTTATTATTTATATATGTATACGTATACGATCTGTATAGTACTGTAGTTTAATATTCATACATAGCACATACCGGTGGTATTCAATCTTTTGAAAATCAAAATTTACATCAAGAATTGTTTAATTGAATGTACTTTTTATATATTAATAATTTTACGACATTCAATATCATTTCGTAAAAGAGAGAAAAATGTTTAAGAAGTACATATGTTTATTCTGTCTCTTATAAGAACATAACCTTTATCTAATGATAATGCTGTCGTTTTTAATATTTTACTAGATTTGACGAGAAAGATAGCATTTCTGGTATGCAACAACTGAAATCATCAGTTCAAAAAGGAATTCGGTCAAAACTTTTAGAGCTATATCCCCACTTAGAAGGTCATGTAGATGCTATCATTCCAAAAAAAGATGCTTTCCGAATTATAAAATGGTAAATTTCTTTAAGACTGATATATTTTATATTTAGTATTAAATAATTTTGTATATGTTTATTTTATGATTAGTCATGACCATATAGAGATTATAGTAAATGCAGCAGGAGATCTTTTGTTTTTCCGTCAACGCGAAGGATCTTGGATGCCTACTTTAAGATTGTTACATAAATGTAAGTAATATTTTTTCCAAATATGGCAAACAATGTAGTTAATAGAAAGTTAATCTTAAACAAATGTTTATACTTTATAATTTATTTTAGTTCAATATATTTAAAAATTTTAGACCCATTTTTTTTACCAATGCAACAAGTTGATAAAGGTGCTATCCGGTTCGTTCTTAGTGGGGCTAACATTATGTGTCCTGGTTTAACGTCGAAAGGTGCAAAGATGACACCTGTAGAAAAGGGAACAGTTGTTGTATCCTTTGTTAAAATAATATAAAGTGAAGTCATTTGTTAATATAAAATTAATATAAAAGAACTTAAGAATATTAAATTCTTAATTTAAAATATAGGCTGTTATGGCAGAGGGCAAACAACATGCTTTAGCTGTGGGTGTTACTACATTGTCAACGGAAGATATGTAAGTAAATAACCTACAATATTTAATATATAAAAAATTTAAGAAGTGCTTTGTAGGTTATAATAATGTAATTTACAGAGTTAAGGTGAACAAGGGAATAGGTATAGAAAATTGTCATTATTTAAATGATGGACTTTGGCAAATGAAATCTGTGAAATAAAAGACTGATGTACATTATTCAAGATCTATTATACAGATGTCTTGATTGTTGTATGAATGCATTTTTTGGTATTTTTAAAAATGAGATGTGCTGTGAAATAATAATTCTAATTACAATATTACTCTCAAAATAAAAAAAGATTAATAATGCATTTTTATTGTACAAACTGAGTGAATATGACAAATTTATTATAACTGTTTAAATGCATCAATATTATTTAAATGTAATTTTATGGTTTACATAAAATTAAGGAAAACCTATAAATAGATGTATGCAGTTATAAAAAATAATTAACCAGATCCTGATTTCATATCTGCTTGACCTTCTTGACCTTCTGATGGAACAGAACGTTCATTTTCACAATGTCCCGATACTGGTGAGTAAGATGAATTATTGGCATCAGAAGTTGGTACAGAAGCAGTGTTTGAACCAGGTACACTATTATTAGCAGTATTATTTTCTCCAACAGCATGAGGAGACTGTGGATGATAATGAGGGCTGTGTGGACTATGAGGTCCATGGGTGTGTGGACGACCCATGGTATGTGGTGAATATTGTGAATATGGCTGATGGTAATATGGATGTGCATATTGAGGATATGGTTGATGATATGGTTGTTGTTGAGGATAAGCATAAGATGGATGTGGAGG